CACACCCCCACACCCACACCCCACACCACACCACACCTCACCACACACCACACACACCCCACACAACACCACCACACCCCACACCACACCACCACACCCCACACCACACCACACCCCACACACCCCACACCACAACACCACCACACACACCACACCCCCACACCACACTCCACCACACACACACCACCACACCACCACACAACACCACTACACCAAACTCACAACAACCACACCCCACATAACACCACCACACCACACCACACACTCACCCCACAATTGCACACCACCCCACACCCCCCCCGCCTCCCACACATACTCTATAAACTTTATCTATAACAAGAAGAAAAACAGAGCTAAGGTCACTACATCAGGTTTGTTTACAGCTCTGTAAATCACAACATAACACTGAGTTGAGATATAAACACAGTCACCTGATACCCATGGGTGTGGGTACTGTTAACGAGGGTGTGGGTACTGTTAACGGGAACTGTTAACGGTGTGGGAATGTGTGTACTAAATGGAGTGGGTACTGTTAACGGGGTGTGGGTACTTACACTGGTGTGGGTACTGTAATAGGTGTGGATACTACACTGGGTACTGTTAACAGGGTGGGTATTGTTAACAGGGTGGGTACTGTTAACAGGGGGGTGTGATACTGTTAACGGGGTGGGTACTGTTAACAGGGGACTAACAGGGGGTACTAACAGGTACTATTAACGAGTGTGGGTACTGTTAACGGGGTGGGTACTGTTAACGGGGAGTGTGGGGTAAGTATTAACGGTACTAACGGGGGTGTAGTGTTTGATGTGGGTACCGCAACAGGGGTGGCACTGTTAAGGGGTGGGTACTGTTAACAGGTACTAACAGGTACTGTTAACAGGGGTGTGGGTACTAACGGGGTGATACACCTGGGGTGGGGTACTGTTAACTGGGTACTACAATAGGTACATGTTAAGGTGGGGTACTGTTAACAGGTGTGGGTACTGTTAGTACGGTGGAACGTGTATTAACGGTGGGTATTGTTAACGGGGTGGTTACTGTAAAAATGTTGAACAGGGGTACTGTTAATGGGGTACTGTTAACAGGTGTGGACTGTTAACAGGTGGGTACTACAGGGTGTAAGTATTAACGTGTGTGGGTACTGTTAACAGGGGTGTGGGTACTGTTAACAGGAGGCGTGGACACTGTTAACAAGGACCTTAGACTCTGTGATCAGATTTTACGGAGCATTATATACATACATACCATACATACATACATACATACATATATATATACATACTCTCCTTTCATCTCTAACACACATGTAGGCCTCTCTTCTCTCTCCAGGTGTGACGTGCGGAGGGTGATTACAGGAATACCAATCAACACATGTTTACCTGTGTATGTGTCACATGAGTGGACGTCTGGTGTGTGTGTGTGGTGTGTTTGCACTGATCCCATGTTTGTGTATGCAAGAGAAACACCAAGGAAGTGAGTTAGGGACAAGGAGGAGTTGAGGAAGGAGGGAGTTGAGGAAGGAGGTGGTTTGAGGAGGAGTGGAAGGAGGAGTCGAGGAAGGAGGGAGTCGAGGGAAGGAGGGGAGTCGAGGGAAGGAGGAGTCGAGGAAGGAGGGAGTCAAGGGAGGGAGAGGAAGGAGTCGAGGAAGGAGGGGAGGAAGGAGGGAGCGAGGGAGGAGGGAGGGAGGAGGAAGGAGGAGTCGGGGAAGGGAGGGAGTCGGGAAGGAGGAGTCGAGGGAAGGAGGAGTCGAGGGGGAGGAGTCGAGGGAAGGAGTCGAGGGAAGGAGGAGTCGGGAAGGAGTCGAGGGAAGGAGGAGTCGAGGGAGGGGAAGGAGGAGGTGAGGGGGAGGGAGGGAGTCGAGGAAGGAGGAGTCGAGGGAAGGAGGAGTCGGGAAGGAGGGTGCAGAGGGGGAGGGAGTCGAGGGAAGGAGAGTCGGGAAGGAAGGAGTCGAGGGAAGGAGGTGAGGGAAGGAGGGAAGGGAAGGAGGGAGGTCGAGGGAGGGAAGGAAGGAGGGGTGGGGAAGGAGGAGTGAGGAGGGAAGAAGGCGAGGAGTGGAAGGAGGGGGAAGGAGGGAGTCGAGGGAAGGAGGGAGTCGAGGGAAGGAGGGAGTCGAGGGAGGAAAGGAAGGAGTCGAGGGAAGGAGGGATTCGAGGGAAGGAGGGAGTCGAGGGAGAGAGAGAGGGTGTGTAGCTGACCCCTCCAACACACTGAAACTGATTGATAAATAACTTGACCCTTGTATATAAAAGATGAATAAACTGATGGTGTGTTTACCTTAGTCTCTCCTCTGAGGTGAATCACTTAATCCCGTTTTCTTTTTTTCAGTAATAATTTACATTTCTACTCAAGAAGAAAATATAAACTTGATTAAATAACCGACCCATCAAGTATATGGCATAAGTTTTAATGATGTTGGAAATTCTGATTAATGACTTTTTTTAATTAAGGTAATTGACTTTATTAGGATAATCGGTTCTCTTTCTACCTCTCCTCTCCTCCGGCAGGCACTAAGACCACCTACAGTAGGCGTGTATTAGGTGTAGAAGCTGTATGATCCAAGGTCAAGGAATAACCCAAGCAGATCGGACAACTTGTAAACTGCACTGGCTAACTAAAATATCCTGGCTCTTACCACACACAATGCAACACCCTTCTTCTCCACTAACACAACACCACCCCCTCCGCCAGATTCCCCACCCCTCCCCCACAACACCACCCCCTCCGCCACAACACCACCCCCTCTGCCACAACACTACCTCCGCCACAACACCACCCTCCCCCCACAACACCACTCCTCCGCCACAACACCACCCTCCCCCACATTCTGCAGCCCCTACCCCACAAACACCACCCCACACACAGGAACATCAGCCCACACAGCCCCCACACAGCTGTTGGGTCCCAGCTAAAAGAGGCACCTTACACAAAACGACTCGACCTATCTCCAATATTCTCGCTGACTCTAAACCCAAGCGTTGGTATATGGGTCAATTCCTCCACACACACCCCCCCCCGACAGACATATAGGAGGCAAAATTGACCTCTTCCTTCCCTCCCTCTTTCTGTCCCTAATTCCCTCTCTATCTCTCCCATCTTCCTTCCCTCCCTCTCTTCCATCCATCCTTCTCTCCCTCCCTCACGTGTGTGGATGGAACAGCAGCAAGGATTATGAGGTGAAGGTCAGGGGAGCGACGCACAAGAACCAAGAAGGACAACCGATTAGCCCTTACCCACCCACCAGCTCATCCACCCACCTATTCATCCACCCACCCATAAATACACAACTCACCCACCTAACACACCCACCCAACCACCCCACCTTCTCACCCACCCAATTTCAGCTCGTTAATGGACTGGTTGGCTCTTACAAACGATCTCCTCATCCACCTTCCACTACCTTGTAACTAACTCCTGAGCTGCCGTCTTTATCATCTACTACTACTACTACTACTACTACTACTACTACTACTACCTGAATCCCCAACACAATGACCATTATCCACCTCCCTCTACCATCACCTCCTCCCCTCCCCACCCCTCGCCATCACCATTCTCCACCTCCCCCTTCACCGCCACCACCAATTCCTTCCCCCCTCACCTCCCTCTACCACCAACAACCTCCCCCCTCCTCTTCTCACCCCCCCCTCACCTCTCTCCTCCATTACCACCTCCCCCTCATCCCCCTCCACCACCACCAACGCACTCTCCAACATTTTCCTCACCTCCAACAATCTCTCCCTCACTTTGATGGATATAAAGGAACTCAAGAGAGTATTTTTGCCATCAGGAGAATTGACTGGTTGTGAGTGACTGGTTGGGTGTGGAGGGAGTAATTGACTGGTTGTGAGTGACTGGTTGGGTGTGGAGGGAGTAACTGACTGGTTGTGAGTGACTGGTTGGGTGAGGAGGGAGTAACTGACTGGTTGTGAGCTGGGAGTGACTGTGAGATGACTGAGAGTTTGAGCTGAGAGTGGCTGGATCAGTGTGTGTAGACTGGTTAGGCGTCAGGGGATGGGTGGTATAATGAGGCCAACAGTCATAACAGACCCTTAACCTAACCTAACCTAACCCAACCTAACCTAACCCAACCTAACCCAACCACGTGAAGACAGGAGGAACACGCCGTAATAAGACTCGGGAAGACTTACTGTACACACCATACTGTCGCCGTCAGTGTGTGGAAGACTTAAGCGGGCGAGTTAGGTGCGTCCTCACGTCTCTAATTAAGGTGGGCGAATACCTGAGATGGCTGATTATATTAGCTGACTATTACGACGATATTAGCTGACTATTATGACGATATTAGCTGACTATTACGACGATATTAGCTGACTATTATGACGATATTAGCTGACTATTACGACGATATTAGCTGACTATTATAACGATATTAGCTGACTATTATAACGATATTAGCTGACTGTTATAACATTAGCTGACTATTATGACGATATTAGCTGACCATTACGACGATATTAGCTGACTATTATGACGATATTAGCATGACTATTACGACGATATTAGCTGACTATTATGACGAGATATTAGCTTTTGACTATTACGACGATATTAGCTGACTATTATGACGATATTAGCTGACCATTACGACGATATTAGCTGACTGTTACGACGATATTAGCGACTGTTACGACGATATTAGCTGACTATTACGACGATATTAGCTGACTATTATAACGATATTAGCTGACTGTTACGACGTGATATTAGCTGACTGTTACGACGATATTAGCTGGACTGTTACGACGATATTAGCTGACTATTACGACGATATTAGCTGACTATTATGACGATATTAGCTGACTATTACGACGATATTAGCTGACTATTACGACGATATTAGCTGACTGTTATAACATTAGCTGACTATTATAACGATATTAGCTGACAATTATAACGATATTAGCTGACTGTTATAACATTAGCTGACTATTATGACGATATTAGCTGACCATTATAAAAACATTAGCTGATTACCATGGCGACCTGTGGTGTAGTGGTCAGCATGCTCGCCTCGCAAGCAAGTGGACCCGGGTTCAATTCCCGGGCAGGGTGAAACTATGGGTAAGAATCTTTACGCCATTTGCCTCTGTCTACCCAGCAGTAATTGGGAACCTGGATGTTAATCGATTTGCGGATCGTGTACCTGGGTAATGGTTAGCCAGTGCAGTTGGCGAGTTGTCCGGTCTTCTCGGACTATTCCTTGACACTGGGTCATGCAACTCGTTTAGGGTGTGGTTGTTGTGTTGGTGACAGCTTCTACACCTTAAACAAATTTACGCTTATCGGTGAGCCTTGGGCCGGCCATCCTCGATTTCGAGAGGCAACCATTATTACCATAACATCAGCTGACCACCATAACAACAGGTAATCATCATAATTTAAAGAAAGGTTAATTAACTCCTGATGAACCACACATTCACAATACACAACTAGGTTAAGCCGACACCTTTATGTACTGTACTGTAATCCTTCTGGTAATTACAGCACGGTACAGTTAATACCTGTATCCGTCTCCATGTCTATATTAAATGTACCAGGCAGAACAATGTAAGTTCCCAGCGTTTATGTCTGTACTTGGACTACAGTTAGCGTTTACTCTCGCTAGCTAACGTATACTGTTGCTAGCTGAAGTTTACTCTAGCTAGCTAACGTTTACTCTCGCTAGCTAACGTTTACCCTTGCTAGCTAACGTATACTCTTGCTAGCTGAAGTTTACTCTCGCTAGCTAACGTTTACTCTCGCTAGCTAACGTTTACTCTTGCTAGCTAACGTTTACTCTTGCTAGCTAACGTTTACTCTTGCTAGCTAACGTTTACTCTTGCTAGCTAACGTTTACTCTTGCTAGCTAACGTTTACCCTTGCTAGCTAACGTTTACCTTTGCTAGCTAACGTTTACCCTTGCTAGCTAATCGCTTACCCTTAAGCGCTGAAGTTTACTTCGTTAGCTAATCAGCCATCTTACAGCCAACGTTTACCCTTGCTAGCCAACGTTTACCTCGCTAGCCAACGTTTACTCGCCAGTTAACTTTACCCGCTAGCTGGTTTACCGAAGCAATTAGTTTACTCGCTAGCTAACGTTTACTCTCGCTAGCTAACGTTACTAGCTAACGTTTACTCTCGCTAGCTAACGTTTACTCTCGCTAGCTAACGTTGCCTAGCTAACGTTTTATTTTTGCTAGCTAACGCCTTACTCCTACCTCTATAATAATAATATTAATGATGATGATGATGACGACGACGAAGATGATGGTAATAATAATAATAACAAATAATGATGATAATAATAATAACAAACTAATAACGCTTACACTACCCCCCCCCTTAATAACACCCTACTGTGACCTCATAATAACAACAACAACACAGGTAAAAATAACAGAACTAGCAGAATTGGAAAACGTTTAAGAATCGTTTAAGCCTTTTCTCCCGTCGCCCTGCTATTGGAGAGGAGAAAATAGAAAGTGCTTTAGAAAGTACTCGACGCGTTTCTCTTCTTAATCTCTAAATTTGAAAGTTTTTTTTTAGATAGATAGATAAATAGATAGATATATATATAGATAGATATATTGATAGATTAGAAAGTGATTTAGAAAGTATTTGACAGACAGACAGACAGACAGACAGACAGACAGACAGACAGACAGACAGACAGACAGACAGACAGACAGAGACAGACAGACGAGACAGAGACAGACAGACAGATAGATAGATAGATAGATAACTAAAGACGATAAATAAAGGTAGTCACTCATACAGGTACAGTCACTCATAGTACAGTCACCATATACAGGTACAGTCACTCATACAGGGACAGTCACTCATACAGTACAGTCACCATACAGGGACAAGTCACCCACAGGTACAGTCACTCATACAGGGACAGTCACCATACAGGTACAGTCACTCATACAGGTACAGTCACCATACAGGTACAGTCACCATACAGGTACAGTCACCATACAGGGACAGTCACCATACAGGTACAGTCACCATACAGGTACAGTCACCATACAGGGACAGTCACTCACAGGACAGTCACCATACAGGTACAGTCACTCATACAGGTACAGTCACCACAGGACAGTCACTCATACAGGTACAGTCACTCAACAGGGCATCACCACAGAGTCACTATACAGCAAGGTAGTCACTATACAGGTACAGTCACAAGGACAGTCACTCATACAGGGACAGTCACTCACAGGTACAGTCACTCATACAGGTACAGTCACTCATACAGGTACAGTCACCATACAGGTACACACCATACAGGTACAGTCACTCATACAGGTACAGTCACCATACAGGTACAGTCACCATACAGGACAGTCACTCATACAGGTACAGTCACCATCAGCAGTCACCATACAGGACAGTCACTCATGAGTACAGTCCTCATACAGCACTGATCCCACTCATACGGGACAGTCACTCGCCTGAGGACAGTCACTCATGCAGGTACAGTCACTCATACAGGGACAGTCACTCATACAGGTACAGTCACTCATACAGGTACAGTCACTCCTTCGGTACAGTCACTCATCAACACAGGTACAGTCACTCATACAGGTACAGTCACTCATACAGGTACAGTCACTCATACAGGACAGTCACTCATACAGGTACAGTCACTCATACAGATCACAGTCACTCATACAGGTACAGTCACTCATACAGGTACAGTCACTCATACAGGTACAGTCACTCATACAGGTACAGTCACTCATACAGGTACAGTCACTCATACAGGTACAGTCACTCATCGAGGTACAGTCACTCATACAGGTACAGTCACTCATACAGGTACAGTCACTCCTTGGGTACAGTCACTCATACAGGTACGGTCACTCATACAGGTACAGTCACTCATACCAGGTACAGTCACTCATTAGGTACAGTCACTCATACAGGTACAGTCACTCATACAGGTACAGTCACTCATACAGGTACAGTCACTCATACAAGGCTGATCACTCATACAGGTACAGTCACTCATACAGGGACAGTCACTCATAGGTACAGTCACTCATACAGGTACAGTCACTCATACAGGTACAGTCACTCATACAGGTACAGTCACTCATACAGGTACAGTCACTCATACAGGTACAGTCACTCATGACAGGTACAGTCACTCATACAGGTACAGTCACTCATACAGGTGTCCCATACAGGTACAATCACTCCATACAGGTACAGTCACTCATACAGGTACAGTCACTCATACAGGTACAGTCACTCATACAGGACTGATCACTCATACAGGTGATCACTCATACAGGTACAGTCACTCATGGTACAGTCCTCATACCAGGTACAGTCACTCATACAGGTACAGTCACTCATACAGTACAGTCCTCATACAGGTACGATCACTCATACAGGGACAGTCACTCATACAGGCACAGTCACTCATACAGGTACAGTCACTCATACAGGTACAGTCACTCATACAGGTACAGTCACTCATACAGGTACAGTCACTCATACAAGGTACAGTCACTCATACAGGTACAGTCACTCATGGTACAATCACTCATACAGGTACAGTCACTCATACCTGGTACAGTCCACTCATTACAGGTACAATCACTCCATATGGGGACAGTCCTCCCATACAGTACAGTCACTCACACGGGGACAGTCCTCATACAGGGACAGTCACTCATATGATCAATCACTCATACAGGGACAGTCACTCATAAAGTACAGTCACTCATACAGGTACAGTCACTCATACAGGTACAGTCACTCATACAGGTACAATCACTCATGCAGGGACAATCACTCATACAGGTACAATCACTCATACAGGGACAGTCCTCATACAGGACAGTCACTCATACAGGGACAGTCACTCCTAAAGCAATCACTCATGCAGGTACAGTCACTCATACAGGTACAGTCACTCATACAGGTACAGTCACTCCTTGGTACAGTCACTCATACAGGTACAATCACTCATACAGGTACAGTCACTCATACAGGGACAGTCACTCATACAGGGACAGTCACTCACACAGGTACAGTCCTCATACAGGTACAGTCACTCATACAGGTACAGTCACTCATACAGGTACAGTCACTCATACAGGGACAGTCACTCATACAGGTACCAATCACTCATACAGGGACAGTCACTCATACGGGGACAGTCACTCACAGGACAGATCACTCATACAAGGTACAATCACTCATACAGGGACAGTCACTCATACAGGTACAGTCACTCATGCAGGTACAATCACTCATACAGGTACAGTCACTCATGCAGGTACAGTCACTCATACAGGTACAGTCACTCATGCAGGTACAGTCACTCATACAGGACAGTCACTCATACAGGTACAATCACTCATACAGGGACAGTCACTCATGCAGGGACAGTCACTCCTACAGGGACAGTCACTCCATACAGGTACAAATCACTCATGCAGGGACAGTACTCATACAGGTACAATCACTCATACAGGACAGTCACTCATACAGGTACAGTCACTCATACAGGTACAATCACTCATACAGGGACGATCACTCATACAGGTACAATCACTCATACAGGGACAGTCACTCATACAGGACAGTCACTCATACAGGACAGTCACTCATACAGGGACAGTCCACTCATGCAGGGACAGTCACTCCTTGAGGTACAGTCGCTCATACAGGTACAGTCACTCCATACAGGTACAGTCACTCATACAGGTACAGTCACTCATACAGGTACAGTCACTCATACAGGTACAATCACTCATACAGGGACAGTCACTCATACAGGGACAGTCACTCATACAGGACAGTCACTCATACAGGCAGATCACTCATACAGGTACAATCACTCATGGGACAGTCACTCCCACCAGGTACAGTCACTCCTTTGAGTACGATCACTCATACAGGGACAGTCACTCATACAGGGACAGTCCTATCCTTTGGAGACAGTCCACTCATACAGGGACAATCGCTCATACCTGATCACTCCATACAGGTACAGTCACTCATACAGGTGCAGTCACTCATACGAACTGGTACAAGTCACTCATACAGGTACAG